AGAGCTAAAGCATTGAAAATTCCATTTTCCACCATCAGGGCAATAATTAAGAGGTTCCAATCAGCTAAAGATGTTACAAATCTGTCTGGAAAAGGACGTGTATCTATTTTTTCTTAAAGCATGGCGAGGAGGAGAGTTTGAGTGGCCAAAGACTCTGAGAAAGACCAAAGGTGGAGAACTGTAGAAAATAGTTGAGTCTCGGGTCAGAAAGCCCAAAAAAAAAAGAAAAACGGCCCCAACATCACCAAATGTTGTTGGGGAGGGTTTCAAGAAGAAGAAAAAAATGCTCTCATACAAAAACAAACTCCAGCATATTCATTTGCTAGACATGACTGGAACTTCAAATGGCACTGGCTTCTATGGTAAGATGAAACAAAAATGAGCTTTTTAACAGCAAACACTCAAGATGACGTGTGTCTATTTTTTCTTAAAGCATGGCGAGGAGGAGAGTTTGAGTGGCCAAAGACTCTGAGAAAGACCAAAGGTGGAGAACTGTAGAAAATAGTTGAGTCTCGGGTCAGAAAGCCCCCAAAAAAAGAAAAACGGCCCCAACATCACCAAATGTTGTTGGGGAGGGTTTCCAAGAAGAAGAAAAAAATGCTCTCATCCAAAAACAAACTCCAGCATATTCATTTGCTAGACATGACTGGAACTTCAAATGGCACTGGCTTCTATGATAAGATGAAACTAAAAATGATATTTTTAACAGCAAACACTCAAGATGGGTTTGGTGCACACATGAGTAAAAAATACCCCATGTCTACAATGAAATATACTTCTGTATCTTTAATGTAGTGGGCCTATTTTTCTGTCAGAGATCCTGGATATTTTGTTCAGACTCACGGCATCGTGGATTCTATCAAATAACAACCGATAGAAAACAATTAAAAACTGACTGTCCATGCTAGAAATCTTACAATGGACCATGGTTGGATCTTCCAACAGGACAATGATCCACAAACAAACATCAAAATCAAACAAAAAATGGGTCACCGAGCACAAAACAAATATTCTGCCATGGCCAACCCAGTCCCCTGACCATAGCAAATGAGTGAGGTGAACTGAAGTGGAGAAGCACCAACATGGAGCTGGGAATCTGAAGGTTCTGGAGTGATTCTGGATGAAGGAAGGCTCTCTGATCTCTTTACAGGTGTCTGATCAAACTCTTCAGGCATTATAGGAGAGAACTCAGAGCTGTTATCTTGGGAAAAGGACGTTACAAAAAGTATTGAATAAAGGGTATGATTAATTGTGGTCAATGTGTATTAGAGAAAAAAATATTTATTTCATAATGAGATTTTCCCTCCATTGTGGTTCCATTGTTGTCAGCATTAAGTCTTAGAATGATTGAGTGGGCTATATAACAGTTTTAATGGTCAAGAAATTACTTCTCTTTAAAGGGGTGGTTGACTGTTTTTTTTCTAGGCTTGATTGTGTTTATGGGGTGCAGTCTAACGTGTTCATGCTTCGTTTTTTTAAAAATGCATTATTTTTCACACAATTTACCTTTATTCCACACCGATCTGTCCCTTCTCTAACAAACGCCTCGATTATTTCCTGTTTTTATGAAGCCCCTCCCTCAGAAATACACGATGGGCTGAGATTGGTCAGCTGGCTCAGAGTGTTGTGATTCGCTAAACCGCCTCTAGTGCGTGTCTGAACATCCCGCCCCTCAAGCTCAGAATGTGCTCCGGTTGTATTGTAAACAATGACGTCCTCTATATTGCTTATCAATTTGAACCCGATTGAGATGCAGAGAATATTAATGAAGAGGATCGCCCAGAACCTGTGCAAGCACGGCTCTTAATGCTATGTTTGTTTGTTGTTGTCCCATACTTTTAGATACGCTGTTGTTTGTAAATGCTACTGCTTATGTTAGCTTTTAATATACGGTTTTATTGTGATTAAAGCTTTAATACAGCACAGCAACCGTA